TGTTGCCTGTTGTTCAGTGTTTGTGGCCTGTTGTGAAGTGTTTGTTGCCTGTTGTTCAGTGTTTGTGGCCTGTTGTGAAGTGTTTGTTGCCTGTTGTGAAGTGTTTGTTGCCTGTTGTGAAGTGTTTGTTGCCTGTTGTGAAGTGTTTGTGGCCTGTTGTGAAGTGTTTGTGGCCTGTTATGAAGTGTTTGTTGCCTGTTGTGAAGTGTTTGTTGCCTGTTGTGAAGTGTTTGTGGCCTGTTATGAAGTGTTTGTGGCCTGTTGTGAAGTGTTTGTTGCCTGTTGTTCAGTGTTTGTTGCCTGTTATGAAGTGTTTGTTGCCTGTTGTGAAGTGTTTGTTGCCTGTTGTGAAGTGTTTGTGGCCTGTTGTGAAGTGTTTGTGGCCTGTTATGAAGTGTTTGTGGCCTGTTGTGAAGTGTTTGTTGCCTGTTGTTCAGTGTTTGTGGCCTGTTATGAAGTGTTTGTACCCTGTTATGAAGTGTTTGTGGCCTGTTGTTCAGTGTTTGTGGCCTGTTATGAAGTGTTTGTTGCCTGTTGTGAAGTGTTTGTTGCCTGTTATGAAATGTTTGTTGCCTGTTGTGAAGTGTTTGTTGCCTGTTGTGAAGTGTTTGTTGCCTGTTGTGAAGTGTTTGTGGCCTGTTGTGAAGTGTTTGTGGCCTGTTGTGAAGTGTTTGTTGCCTGTTGTGAAGTGTTTGTTGCCTGTTGTGAAGTGTTTGTGGCCTGTTGTGAAGTGTTTGTGGCCTGTTGTGAAGTGTTTGTTGCCTGTTATGAAGTGTTTGTGGCCTGTTGTGAAGTGTTTGTGGCCTGTTGTGAAGTGTTTGTGGCCTGTTGTGAAGTGTTTGTGGCCTGTTGTGAAGTGTTTGTGGCCTGTTATGAAGTGTTTGTTGCCTGTTATGAAGTGTTTGTGGCCTGTTGTTCAGTGTTTGTGGCCTGTTGTGAAGTGTTTGTTGCCTGTTATGAAGTGTTTGTGGCCTGTTGTTCAGTGTTTGTGGCCTGTTATGAAGTGTTTGTTGCCTGTTGTGAAGTGTTTGTTGACTGTTGTGAAGTGTTTGTTGCCTGTTGTGAAGTGTTTGTTGCCTGTTGTGAAGTGTTTGTTGCCTGTTGTGAAGTGTTTGTTGCCTGTTGTGAAGTGTTTGTGGCCTGTTGTGAAGTGTTTGTTGCCTGTTGTTCAGTGTTTGTGGCCTGTTGTGAAGTGTTTGTTGCCTGTTGTTCAGTGTTTGTGGCCTGTTGTGAAGTGTTTGTTGCCTGTTGTGAAGTGTTTGTTGCCTGTTGTGAAGTGTTTGTGGCCTGTTGTGAAGTGCTTGTGGCCTGTTGTGAAGTGTTTGTTGCCTGTTATGAAGTGTTTGTTGCCTGTTGTGAAGTGTTTGTTGCCTGTTGTGAAGTGTTTGTTGCCTGTTGTGAAGTGTTTGTGGCCTGTTGTGAAGTGTTTGTGGCCTGTTGTTCAGTGTTTGTTGCCTGTTGTTCAGTGTTTGTTGCCTGTTGTGAAGTGTTTGTAGCCTGTTGTGAAGTGTTTGTTGCCTGTTGTTCAGTGTTTGTGGCCTGTTGTGAAGTGTTTGTTGCCTGTTGTGAAGTGTTTGTTGCCTGTTGTTCAGTGTTTGTGGCCTGTTGTGAAGTGTTTGTTGCCTGTTGTGAAGTGTTTGTTGCCTGTTGTTCAGTGTTTGTGGCCTGTTGTGAAGTGTTTGTGGCCTGTTATGAAGTGTTTGTTGCCTGTTGTGAAGTGTTTGTTGCCTGTTGTGAAGTGTTTGTGGCCTGTTATGAAGTGTTTGTGGCCTGTTGTGAAGTGTTTGTTGCCTGTTGTTCAGTGTTTGTTGCCTGTTATGAAGTGTTTGTTGCCTGTTGTGAAGTGTTTGTTGCCTGTTGTGAAGTGTTTGTGGCCTGTTGTGAAGTGTTTGTGGCCTGTTATGAAGTGTTTGTGGCCTGTTGTGAAGTGTTTGTTGCCTGTTGTTCAGTGTTTGTGGCCTGTTATGAAGTGTTTGTTGCCTGTTATGAAGTGTTTGTGGCCTGTTGTTCAGTGTTTGTGGCCTGTTATGAAGTGTTTGTTGCCTGTTGTGAAGTGTTTGTTGCCTGTTATGAAATGTTTGTTGCCTGTTGTGAAGTGTTTGTTGCCTGTTGTGAAGTGTTTGTTGCCTGTTGTGAAGTGTTTGTGGCCTGTTGTGAAGTGTTTGTGGCCTGTTGTGAAGTGTTTGTTGCCTGTTGTGAAGTGTTTGTTGCCTGTTGTGAAGTGTTTGTGGCCTGTTGTGAAGTGTTTGTGGCCTGTTGTGAAGTGTTTGTTGCCTGTTATGAAGTGTTTGTGGCCTGTTGTGAAGTGTTTGTGGCCTGTTGTGAAGTGTTTGTGGCCTGTTGTGAAGTGTTTGTGGCCTGTTGTTCAGTGCAGCACTCAGGTCGGATACCGAGAAGAATAGGGAAGTTTGAAATGTGCTTCTGTTCACTGATAACCTGGACTTTATCTCTCAATATTCACATAAAGTCTTTGACTTATCATACCTCGAAATCCTTTCGGTAAATTACACATAACTTGGCAGCCTCGACGGGTTTCCAGTAGACGAGATGCTGGAGGGTACCTGCTTGGGCAGTGTTGTATTAATACTTGAGGCTCGTCTCTCCCAGCAGCCTTCGGTTGTGTGCCGGTACCCAACACACCTTTCCACGAGGCAGGATGCCTTCAGGAGAGTGTCAACATTGACTTCTTCTCTCGTGTTGACTTTGGTCGTAGGATCCAACTCTCCGTGTTTCTTGGCGAGGAAACAGGTCCTCTGATGTGGTCACCCGCAGTGTATTAGCCTTTAGGCTCTCCGCCTCTCCAAAATTGTCAAGTAATCTCACTTGGTGTTCATGTTTGGAACTCTTGGTCAGCGCGTTCGACAATTCAGTTTCTTTCTTTAATTATGCACCCCATACCCATCCCGTGGGTGGTGGTGGAAAGGGTTACAGCGGCCCATAATTGGTTCAGGAACTTAACAACATTGTTCCTTTAGCTCAGAAAGTGACAAGCTTTTGTAGGTAGTTACACAGTTGTTAATGACGACACCCGCCTGCACCTCCTCGGTGACCTCAGTGGTTGTTAAGTCTCAAGTGGTTTCTTGCCATGGTGAGTGATTAGAGTGAAGACAGTAGTAGGGGAGGACTGACAGTAGTTGGAGAGGACTGACAGTAGTTGGGGAGGACTGACAGTAGTTGGAGAGGACTGACAGTAGTAGGGGAGGACTGACAGTAGTTGGGGAGGACTGACAGTAGTTGGAGAGGACTGACAGTAGTTGGAGACGACTGACAGTAGTTGGGTAGGACTGACAGTAGTTGGAGAGGACTGACAGTAGTTGAAGAGGACTGACAGTAGTTGGGGAACACTGACAGTAGTTGGAGAGGACTGACAGTAGTTGGGGAGGACTGACAGTAGTTGGAGAGGACTGACAGTAGTTGGGGAGGACTGACAGTAGTTGGAGAGGACTGACAGTAGTTGAAGAGGACTGACAGTAGTTGGGGAACACTGACAGTAGTTGAAGAGGACTGACAGTAGTTGGAGAGGACTGACAGTAGTTGGAGAGGACTGACAGTAGTTGAAGAGGACTGACAGTAGTTGAAGAGGACTGACAGTAGTTGAAGAGGACTGACAGAAGTTGAAGAGGACTGACAGTAGTTGGAGAGGACTGACAGTAGTTGGAGAGGACTGACAGTAGTTGAAGAGGACTGACAGTAGTTGGAGAGGACTGACAGTAGTTGGAGAGGACTGACAGTAGTTGGGTAGGACTGACAGTAGTTGGAGAGGACTGACAGTAGTTGAAGAGGACTGACAGTAGTTGGGGAACACTGACAGTAGTTGGAGAGGACTGACAGTAGTTGGGGAGGACTGACAGTAGTTGGAGAGGACTGACAGTAGTTGGGGAGGACTGACAGTAGTTGGAGAGGACTGACAGTAGTTGAAGAGGACTGACAGTAGTTGGGGAACACTGACAGTAGTTGAAGAGGACTGACAGTAGTTGGAGAGGACTGACAGTAGTTGGAGAGGACTGACAGTAGTTGAAGAGGACTGACAGTAGTTGAAGAGGACTGACAGTAGTTGAAGAGGACTGACAGTAGTTGAAGAGGACTGACAGTAGTTGGAGAGGACTGACAGTAGTTGGAGAGGACTGACAGTAGTTGGAGAGGACTGACAGTAGTTGGAGAGGACTGACAGTAGTTGGAGAGGACTGACAGTAGTTGGAGAGGACTGACAGTAGTTGGGGAGGACTGACAGTAGTTGGAGAGGACTGACAGTAATTGGAGAGGACTGACAGTAGTTGGAGAGGACTGACAGTAGTTGGAGAGGACTGACAGTAGTTGGAGAGGACTGACAGTAGTTGGAGAGGACTGACAGTAGTTGGAGAGGACTGACAGTAGTTGGAGAGGACTGACAGTAGTTGGGGAGGACTGACAGTAGTTGGGGAGGACTGACAGTAGTTGGAGAGGACTGACAGTAGTTGGAGAGGACTGACAGTAGTTGGAGAGGACTGACAGTAGTTGGAGAGGACTGACAGTAGTTGGAGAGGACTGACAGTAGTTGGAGAGGACTGACAGTAGTTGGAGAGGACTGACAGTAGTTGGAGAGGACTGACAGTAGTTGGAGAGGACTGACAGTAGTTGGGGAGGACTGACAGTAGTTGGGGAGGACTGACAGTAGTTGGAGAGGACTGACAGTAGTTGGGGAGGACTGACAGTAGTTGGAGAGGACTGACAGTAGTTGGAGAGGACTGACAGTAGTTGGAGAGGACTGACAGTGGTTGGAGAGGACTGACAGTAGTTGGGGAGGACTGACAGTAGTTGAAGAGGACTGACAGTAGTTGGAGAGGACTGACAGTCCGGACTGACAGTAGTAGTAGAACTGACAGAGGGAGAGGGACGGTGTATTACAGAAGCCTCAACAAGAAGGTCGTGATTGCCTGATAGCGTGATTGTAGCCTTCAAGTGCCCCAAGCAATCACGGGTCGGTGGTCGGGTCGTTTCCTCATGCCCTGATTCACACGCAAATGACCACAAGTGTGCGTGGCTCAGCCTCGCCCCCCAAGTGTGCGTGGCTCAGCCTCGCCCACCAAGTGTGCGTGGCTCAGCCTCGCCCACCAAGTGTGCGTGGCTCAGCCTCGCCCCCCAAGTGTGCGTGGCTCAGCCTCGCCCACCAAGTGTGCGTGGCTCAGCCTCGCCCCCCAAGTGTGCGTGGCTCAGCCTCGCCCCCCAAGTGTGCGTGGCTCAGCCTCGCCCCCCAAGTGTGCGTGGCTCAGCCTCGCCCACCAAGTGTGTGGCTCAGCCTCCAGCCTCGCCCGCCAAGTGTGCGTGGCTCAGCCTCGCCCCCCAAGTGTGCGTGGCTTAGCCTCGCCCACCAAGTGTGCGTGGCTCAGCCTCGCCCACCAAGTGTGCGTGGCTCAGCCTCGCCCCCCAAGTGTGCGTGGCTCAGCCTCGCCCCCCAAGTGTGCGTGGCTCAGCCTCGCCCACCAAGTGTGTGGCTCAGCCTCCAGCCTCGCCCGCCAAGTGTGCGTGGCTCAGCCTCGCCCGCCAAGTGTGCGTGGCTCAGCCACGCCCACCAAGTGTGCGTGGCTCAGCCTCGCCCACCAAGTGTGCGTGGCTCAGCCTCGCCCACCAAGTGTGCGTGGCTCAGCCTCGCCCACCAAGTGTGCGTGGCTCAGCCTCGCCCACCAAGTGTGCGTGGCTCAGCCTCGCCCACCAAGTGTGCGTGGCTCAGCCTCGCCCACCAAGTGTGCGTGGCTCAGCCTCGCCCCCCAAGTGTGATGACAACACACTTCTGATCCCTCACTCTCCTCTAGAATGGCAGAAGTTTGAGGTTTAATGAGTGTGGTAACGTGTAGGTGCGTTGAGGCTTGTGCTCTCTGTCAGGGGTTGAGGTACGGTGGGACGGCATGGGACGGTGGGGCAGCATGGGACGGTGGAGCAGCATGGGACGGTGGGGCAGCATGGGACGGTGGAGCAGCATGGGACGGTGGGACAGTATGGGACGGTGGAGCAGCATGGGACGGTGGGGCAGCATGGGACGGTGGAGCAGCATGGGACGGTGGGGCAGCATGGGACGGTGGGACAGTATGGGACGGTGGAGCAGCATGGGACGGTGGGGCAGCATGGGACGGTGGAGCAGCATGGGACGGTGGGGCAGCATGGGACGGTGGGACAGTATGGGACGGTGGAGCAGCATGGGACGGTGGGGCAGCATGGGACGGTGGAGCAGCATGGGACGGTGGGGCAGCATGGGACGGTGGGACAGTATGGGACGGTGGAGCAGCATGGAACGGTGGGGCAGCATGGGACGGTGGAGCAGTATGGGACGGTGGAGCAGCATGGGACGGTGGGGCAGTATGGGACGGTGGGGCAGCATGGGGCGGTGGGACAGTATGGGACGGTGGGACAGTATGGGACGGTGGGGTAGCATGGGTCGGTGGGGCAGTATGGGACGGTGGGACAGTATGGGACGGTGGGACAGTATGGGACGGTGGGGCAGCATGGGACGGTGGGGCAGCATGGGACGGTGGAGCAGCATGGGACGGTGGAGCAGCATGGGACGGTGGGGCAGCATGGGACGGTGGGGCAGCATGGGACGGTGGAGCAGCATGGGACGGTGGGGCAGCATGGGACGGTGGGGCAGCATGGGACGGTGGAGCAGCATGGGACGGTGGAGCAGCATGGGACGGTAGGGCTGCATGGGACGGTTCGGCAGCATGGGACGGTGGAGCAGCATGGGACGGTGGGGCAGCATGGGACGGTGGGGCAGCATGGGACGGTGGAGCAGCATGGGACGGTGGAGCAGCATGGGACGGTGGGGCAGCATGGGGCGGTGGGGCAGCATGGGACGGTGGGGCAGCATGGGGCGGTGGAGCAGCATGGGGCAGTGGGGCAGCATGGGGCGGTGGGGCAGCATGGGGCGGTGGGGCAGCATGGGGCGGTGGAGCAGCATGGGACGGTGGGGCAGCATGGGACGGTGGGGCAGCATGGGACGGTGGGGCAGCATGGGACGGTAGAGCAGCATGGGACGGTGGGGCAGCATGGGACGGTGGGGCAGCATGGGACGGTGGGGCAGCATGGGACGGTGGAGCAGCATGGGACGGTGGGGCAGTATGGGGCGGTGGGGCAGCATGGGACGGTGGGGCAGCATGGGACGGTGGGGCAGCATGGGACGGTGGGGCAGCATGGGACGGTGGGGCAGCATGGGACGGTGGGGCAGCATGGGACGGTGGGACAGAATGGGACGGTGGGGCAGCATGGGACGGTGGGACAGTATGGGACGGTGGGGCAGCATGGGACGGTGGGGCAGCATGGGACGGTGGGGCAGCATGGGACGGTGGGGCAGCATGGGGCGGTGGGGCAGCATGGGGCGGTGGAACAGTATGGGACGGTGGAGCAGCATGGGACGGTGGAGCAGCATGGGGCGGTGGAGCAGCATGGGACGGAGGAGCAGCATGGGACGGTGGAGCAGCATGGGGCGGTGGAGCAGCATGGGGCGGTGGGGCAGCATGGGACGGTGGAGCAGCATGGGACGGTGGGGCAGCATGGGGCGGTGGAGCAGCATGGGGCGGTGGAGCAGTATGGGACGGTGGAGCAGCATGGGGCGGTGGAGCAGCATGGGACGGTGGAGCAGAATGGGACGGTGGAGCAGCATGGGACGGTGGAGCAGCATGGGACGGTGGAGCAGCATGGGACGGTGGGGCAGCATGGGGCGGTGGAGCAGTATGGGACGGAGGAGCAGCATGGGACGGTGGAGCAGCATGGGACGGTGGAGCAGCATGGGACGGTGGGGCAGCATGGGGCGGTGGAGCAGCTCGGGGCGGTGGGGCAGCATGGGGCGGTGGAGCAGCATGGGACGGTGGGGCAGCATGGGGCGATGGAGCAGCATGGGACGGTGGGGCAGCATGGGGCGGTGGGGCAGCATGGGGCGGTGGGGCAGCATGGGGCGGTGGGGCAGCATGGGGCGGTGGAGCAGTATGGGACGGTGGAGCAGCATGGGGCGGTGGGGCAGCATGGGGCGGTGGGGCAGCATGGGGCGGTGGAGCAGTATGGGACGGTGGAGCAGCATGGGACGGTGGAGCAGCATGGGACGGTGGGGCAGTATGGGACGGTGGGGCAGCATGGGGCGGTGGGGCACCATGGGGCGGTGGGGCAGCATGGGGCGGTGGAGCAGTATGGGACGGTGGAGCAGCATGGGACGGTGGAGCAGCATGGGACGGTGGAGCAGTATGGGACGGTGGAGCAGCATGGGACGGTGGAGCAGTATTGGGCGGTGGGGCAGCATGGGGCGGTGGGGCAGAATGGGGCGGTGGAGCAGTATGGGACGGTGGGGCAGCATGGGACGGTGGAGCAGTATTGGGCGGTGGGGCAGCATGGGGCGGTGGGGCAGCATGGGGCGGTGGAGCAGTATGGGACGGTGGAGCAGCATGGGACGGTGGGGCAGTATTGGGCGGTGGGGCAGCATGGGGCGGTGGGGCAGCATGGGGCGGTGGAGCAGTATTGGGCGGTGGGGCAGCATGGGGCGGTGGAGCAGTATGGGACGGTGGAGCAGCATGGGACGGTGGAGCAGTATGGGACGGTGGAGCAGTATGGGGCGGTGGAGCAGCATGGGGCGGTGGGGCAGCATGGGGCGGTGGAGCAGCATGGGGCGGTGGGGCAGCATGGGACGGTGGGGCAGCATGGGGCGGTGGAGCAGCATGGGACGGTGGAGCAGCATGGGACGGTGGAGCAGCATGGGGCGGTGGGGCAGCATGGGGCGGTGGAGCAGTATGGGACGGTGGAGCAGCATGGGGCGGTGGGGCAGCATGGGGCGGTGGGGCAGCATGGGGCGGTGGAGCAGCATGGGACGGTGGAGCAGCATGGGGCGGTGGGGCAGCATGGGGCGGTGGAGCAGTATTGGGCGGTGGGGCAGCATGGGGCGGTGGAGCAGTATGGGACGGTGGAGCAGCATGGGACGGTGGAGCAGCATGGGACGGTGGAGCAGTATGGGACGGTGGAGCAGCATGGGACGGTGGAGCAGTATTGGGCGGTGGGGCAGCATGGGGCGTTGGGGCAGCATGGGGCGGTGGAGCAGTATGGGACGGTGGGGCAGCATGGGACGGTGGGGCAGCATGGGACGGTGGAGCAGTATTGGGCGGTGGGGCAGCATGGGGCGGTGGAGCAGTATGGGACGGTGGAGCAGCATGGGACGGTGGAGCAGTATGGGACGGTGGAGCAGTATGGGGCGGTGGAGCAGCATGGGGCGGTGGGGCAGCATGGGGCGGTGGGGCAGTATTGGGCGGTGGGGCAGCATGGGGCGGTGGAGCAGCATGGGACGGTGGGGCAGCATGGGGCGGTGGAGCAGTATGGGACGGTGGAGCAGTATGGGACAGTGGAGCAGCATGGGGCGGTGGAGCAGCATGGGACGGTGGAGCAGCATGGGACGGTGGGGCAGCATGGGGCGGTGGAGCAGTATGGGACGGTGGGGCAGCATGGGGCGGTGGGGCAGCATGGGACGGTGGAGCAGCATGGGACGGTGGGGCAGCATGGGGCGGTGGAGCAGTATGGGACGGTGGGGCAGCATGGGGCGGTGGGGCAGCATGGGACGGTGGAGCAGCATGGGACGGTGGGGCAGCATGGGGCGGTGGAGCAGTATGGGACGGTGGAGCAGTATGGGACGGTGGAGCAGCATGGGGCGGTGGAGCAGCATGGGACGGTGGAGCAGCATGGGGCGGTGGGGCAGCATGGGGCGGTGGAGCAGCATGGGACGGTGGAGCAGTATGGGACGGTGGGGCAGCATGGGACGGTGGAGCAGTATTGGGCGGTGGGGCACCATGGGGCGGTGGGGCAGCATGGGGCGGTGGAGCAGTATGGGACGGTGGGGCAGCATGGGACGGTGGAGCAGCATGGGACGGTGGAGCAGCATGGGGCGGTGGAGCAGCATGGGACGGTGGAGCAGCATGGGACGGTGGAGCAGCATGGGACGGTGGAGCAGCATGGGACGGTGGAGCAGCATGGGACGGTGGGGCAGCATGGGACGGTGGGGCAGCATGGGGCGGTGGAGCAGCATGGGACGGTGGAGCAGCATGGGACGGTGGAGCAGCATGGGGCGGTGGAGCAGCATGGGACGGTGGAGCAGCATGGGACGGTGGAGCAGCATGGGACGGTGGAGCAGCATGGGACGGTGGAGCAGCATGGGACGGTGGGGCAGCATGGGACGGTGGAGCAGCATGGGACGGTGGGGCAGCATGGAACGGTGGGGCAGCATGGGGCGGTGGGGCAGCATGGGGCGGTGGGGCAGCATGGGGCGGTGGAGCAGTATGGGACGGTGGAGCAGCATGGGACGGTGGAGCAGTATTGGGCGGTGGGGCAGCATGGGGCGGTGGAGCAGTATTGGGCGGTGGAGCAGCATGGGGCGGTGGAGCAGCATGGGGCGGTGGAGCAGTATGGGACGGTGGAGCAGCATGGGACGGTGGAGCAGCATGGGGCGGTGGAGCAGCATGGGACGGTGGAGCAGCATGGGACGGTGGAGCAGCATGGGACGGTGGGGCAGCATGGGACGGTGGGGCAGCATGGGGCGGTGGGGCAGCATGGGGCGGTGGGGCAGCATGGGGCGGTGGAGCAGTATGGGACGGTGGAGCAGCATGGGACGGTGGAGCAGTATTGGGCGGTGGGGCAGCATGGGGCGGTGGAGCAGTATTGGGCGGTGGGGCAGCATGGGGCGGTGGAGCAGTATTGGGCGGTGGGGCAGCATGGGACGGTGGAGCAGCATGGGGCGGTGGGGCAGCATGGGACGGTGGGGCAGCATGGGGCGGTGGAGCAGCATGGGACGGTGGGGCAGCATGGGACGGTGGAGCAGCATGGGGCGGTGGGGCAGTATGGGACGGTGGAGCAGCATGGGACGGTGCGGCAGCATGGGACGGTGGAGCAGCATGGGGCGGTGGAGCAGCATGGGACGGTGGAGCAGCATGGGACGGTGGAGCAGCATGGGACGGTGGAGCAGTATGGGACAGTGGAGCAGCATGGGGCGGTGGAGCAGTATTGGGCGGTGGGGCAGCATGGGACGGTGGAGCAGCATGGGACGGTGGAGCAGCATGGGGTGGTGGAGCAGCATGGGGCGGTGGAGCAGCATGGGACGGTGGAGCAGCATGGGGCGGTGGGGCAGCATGGGACGGTGGGGCAGCATGGGGCGGTGGAGCAGCATGGGACGGTGGGGCAGCATGGGACGGTGGAGCAGCATGGGGCGGTGGGGCAGTATGGGACGGTGGAGCAGCATGGGACGGTGAGGCAGCATGGGACGGTGGAGCAGCATGGGGCGGTGGAGCAGCATGGGACGGTGGAGCAGCATGGGACGGTGGAGCAGCATGGGACGGTGGAGCAGTATGGGACAGTGGAGCAGCATGGGGCGGTGGAGCAGTATTGGGCGGTGGGGCAGCATGGGACGGTGGGGCAGCATGGGGCGGTGGGGCAGCATGGGGCGGTGGGGCAGCATGGGGCGGTGGAGCAGTATGGGACGGTGGAGCAGCATGGGGCGGTGGAGCAGCATGGGACGGTGGGACAGTATGGGACGGTGGAGCAGCATGGGACGGTGGAGCAGTATTGGGCGGTGGGGCAGCATGGGACGGTGGGGCACCATGGGGCGGTGGAGCAGTATGGGACGGTGGAGCAGTATTGGGCGGTGGGGCAGCATGGGACGGTGGAGCAGCATGGGACGGTGGGGCAACATGGGACGGTGGAGCAGCATGGGACGGTGGAGCAGCATGAGACGGTGGGGCAGCATGGGACGGTGGAGCAGCATGGGACGCGAGGCACGAAGCTCTCAACATGAAGGTGACGGAGGATGGAGGCGTAGAGTCTTGTGTTAGGGGCGGCGACCCCTCTCTCATTATTACCTGGAGCATACCTGATGAGTGTCTCGAGAGCTTTTCTACTCTCTGAGCCCGGCCTGAGGCCAGGCTCGACTTGTGATAACTTGGTCCAACAGGCTGTTGCTTGGAGCGGCCCGCAGGCCCACATACCCACCACAGCCAGTGTGATGCTCAGACAGTGTTCTCTGATTGTGCCTATGGCACCTCTACTCCTCACTGGTTCTTCAGCATTTCCTTCCGTATCTTTCGTTCCAATATGTTGTTATTCTTCTGTACGAATTTAGGACCTGACCTTCCAGTATCTTCCATGTATATATTATTTGATTCCTCTCTCGTGTCCTTTCCAAAGAGTACATTTTGAGAGCTTTGAGACGGTCCCAATAATTCAGGTGTTTTCTCGTGTCTATGCGTGCCGTATATGTTCTCTGTATTCCCTCTAATTCAGAGATCTCTCCTGCTATTAAAGGGGAGGTGAGTACTGGTCTTGAGCAGTACTCAAGACGGGACAACACCAGTGATTTAACTAGTATTAACATTGCAGTAGGGTCTCTGGGTTTCAACGTTATCATAATTCCCAGATCATTTACAAGTTGGTTTCCTTGTATATTACGTCTGACTGTTTTGTACACTGTGTTTCGTTTAAATTCCTCGTTTCCTCCTTACTTAAGCATCTTGATCTTATCACTACTAAACATCATGTTATTATCCGTTGCCCAATCAAAGACTTTATTAATATCACCTTGTAATTTAAGAGACTTCTACAAAGGAAATATTCATGCTGATTTTCGCCTCATCAGTAAAGGATGACACAAAGCTATGGCTAGTATTTTTGTCTATGTCCGAGATAAGAATGAAAAATAGCAGCGGTGCAAGGATTGTGCCCTCGGGTACAGAGCTTTTCACTGCACTTGGGCTTGATCCTAGTTGACTGACTGTTACTTTTTGTATTCTGTTTGACAGAAAATTTTAAATCCAACGCTCCACTTTTCCCGTTATTCCTATTGATCTCATTTTATGGGCTATCACTCCGTGGTCACACTTATCAAATGCCTTTGCAAAATCTGTGTATACAACATCTGCATTTTGTTTTTCTTCTAACGTTTCTGTGATTCTGTCATAGTGATTATGTAGTTACAAAAGACAGGATTTTCCAGCTCTAAGTCCGTGTTGACCTGGATTGTGAAGTTTAATTGTTTTCCATAAAACTGGAGATTTCATTTCTAATCACTCTTTAAAAAAAAACTTATTATGTGTGATATTAGTGTAATTGGTCTATAGTTTTTTGCCAAGGCTTTACTACCTCCCTTGTGCCGAGGAGCTATATCTGCTGATATAAGTACTGCTGGTATCTCCCCAGTATCCAGGCTCTTTCTCCATATTTCACTGAGTGCTCGCACTACTGGTACTTTATATTTCTTTATGAATATTGAATTCCATGAGTCAGGACCAGGGGCTGAGTGCATGGGCATGATGTCAATTTCTCTTTCAAAATCTGCAGCGTTCGTGTTGATATCAGTTATATTTTTAGGGGTTTGGATACAACAAATAAAAAAGCTGTCTGGACCTTCCACTTTCATTCTGTTCACTGTGGTGTTAAACATGTCCTTATACGGCTCTTCTGGGACTACATCAGTGTCTTTTGTCGTCCCTTGTGTATGTGTTTTGTCGTCCCTTGTGTATGTGTTTTGTCGTCCCTTGTGTATGTGTTTTGTCGTCCCTTGTGTATGTGTTTTGTCGTCCCTTGTGTATGTGTTTTGTCGTCCCTTGTGTATGTGTTTTGTCGTCCCTTGTGTATGTGTTTTGTCGTCCCTTGTGTATGTGTTTTCACTTGTAAGAATAGCGCCAATACTAACGGAGCTTTTTCATTTTGATTTCGCATATGTGAAGAAGTATTTTAGATGTTTTGGTTATGTCCAGTCAGGTAGAGTGGCAAGTTAAGGACAGAGCGGCAGTGACAGACATCGTGAAGGGGAGACTGTTGGAAGGACCTAGTAAAATATAGAGGTTTTCAGGCTTGGTTGGTACATGGACAGAGATGAAGTGATATAGTGACTGAAGACTCATACAGGAGTATGATACAAAAACAATACACAGACATACATGCATATGTCCTGTATATACATACATACACATGGGGTAATGGGAGGGGTTTGATGGGCGGGGAAGGGTGAAGGGGTCGGGGAGATGGAGGAGGATGGGTGACGGGGGTAAGGATGGGGTGAAGGGTGACGGGGAGGGGTGGAAAGGGTGAAGGGGTGGGGGAGAGTGAAGGGGTGGGGGCGAGGGAGGGGGGTTAAGGGTGAAGGGGTGGGGGTGATGGAGGAGGATGGGTGACGGGTGTAGGGACGAGGGATGGGGGGAAGGGTGATGGGGAGGGGTGGAAAGGGTGAAGGGGTGGGGGAGAGTGAAGGGGTGGGGGCGAGGGAGGGGGGTTAAGGGTGAAGGGGTGGGGGGGACGGAAGCAGGGGAGGACATACTGAACAAGGTGGAGTATAAGTGACATGTTTCCCTACAGACGTGTGAGCAAGCGGAGACTGGCGACGGGAAGGGAGTTATCTGGGGAAAGCACCAAGCCATTACGATTATATAGCACTTGGAAGGGGTCAGGATAGAGATTTGAGATGGGACGGAGGGAAGGAATGGTAACCAACCACTTGGACGGTCGGGGACTGAACGCCGACCTGCTTGAAGCGAGACCGTGGCTCTACCAACCAGCCCCAGTGGTTGGGTATGCGCGCCAAGATACGCATGGGAACTGCAGTACCCGGGATCCAATACCACAACAAGAGCCAGCTGCGGCTACCCAACGCTGCTCTTCCGTCGCGCCCGTCCCAGCCCGTCCCAGCCCGGGACGGGTCACCCGTCACTCCGGCGTGTTGCGTCTGTGTACTTGCCTAGCTGTTAGGCAAACGGAGATTGAGCTCTGGCTCTTTGGTCCCGCCTCTCAACCGTCAATCAACTGGTGTACAGATTCCTGAGCCTATTGGGCTCTATCATATCTACATTTGAAACTGTGTATGGAGTCAGCCTCCACCACATCACTTCCTAGTGCATTCCATCTATTAACTACTCTGACACTGAAAAAATTCTTTCTAACGTCTCTGTGGCTCATCTGGGTACTAAGTTTCCACCTGTGTCCCCTTGTTCGTGTCTCACCCGTGCTGAAGAGTTTGTCTTTGTCCACCCTGTCAATTCCCCTGAGAATTTTGTAGGTGGTTATCATGTCTCCCCTTACTCTTCTGTTTTCCAGGGATGTGAGGTTCAGCTCCTTTAGCCTTTCCTCGTAGCTCAATCCTCTCAGTTCCGGGACGAGCCTGGTGGCATACCGCTGAATCTTCTCTAACTTTGTCTTGTGTTTAACTAGGTATGGACTCCAGGCTGGAGCTGTGTGTGTGTGTGTGTGTGTGTGTGTGTGTGTGTGTGTGTGTGTGTGTGTGTGTGTGTACATCTTGCATCCGCATTTTTCCACACTTGTTTATTGGCTGAATAAGTGACGCTATTATCATATAAAGTTTGTTTACTTATGCATGTGTGTATTTTGATGTACGTGTGTGTGAGGGAGCGTGTGTGTGTGTGTGAGGGAGTGTGTGTGTGTGTGAGGGAGTGTGTGTGTGAGGGAGTGTGTGTGTGAGGGAGCGTGTGTGTGTGTGTGAGGGAGTGTGTGTGTGTGTGTGAGGGAGTGTGTGTGTGTGTGTGAGGGAGTGTGTATGTGTGTGAGGGAGTGTGTGTGTGTGTGTGAGGGAGTGTGTGTGTGTGTGTGAGGGAGTGTGTGTGTGTGAGGGAGTGTGTATGTGTGTGAGGGAGCGTGTGTGTGTGTGTGAGGGAGCGTGTGTGTGTGTGTGAGGGAGTGTGTATGTGTGTGAGGGAGCGTGTGTGTGTGTGTGAGGGAGTGTGTGTGTGTGTGTGTGAGGGAGTGTGTGTGTGTGAGGGAGCGTGTGTGTGTGTGTGAGTGAGAGTGTGTGTGTGTGTGTGAGTGTGTGTGTGTGTGTGTGGGAGTGTGTGTGTGTGTGTGTGTGTGTGTGTGTGTGTGTGTGTGTGTGTGTGTGTGTGAGGGAGTGTGTGTGTGTGTGTGAGGAAGCGTGTCTGTGTGTGTGAGGGAGCGTGTGTGTGTGTGTGAGGGAGTGTGTGTGTGTGTGAGGGAGTGTGTGTGTGTGTGAGGGAGCGTGTGTGTGTGTGTGAGGGAGCGTGTGTGTGTGTGAGGGAGTGTGTGTGTGTGTGTGAGGAAGCGTGTCTGTGTGTGTGAGGGAGTGTGTGTGTGTGTGAGGGAGTGTGTGTGTGTGTGAGGGAGTGTGTGTGTGTGTGTGAGGAAGCGTGTCTGTGTGTGTGAGGGAGCGTGTGTGTGTGAGGGAGTGTGTGTGTGTGTGAGGGAGCGTGTGTGTGTGTGTGAGGGAGTGTGTGTGTGTGTGAGGGAGCGTGTGTGTGTGTGTGAGGGAGTGTGTGTGTGTGTGAGGGAGTGTGTGTGTGTGTGAGGGAGTGTGTGTGTGTGTGAGGGAGTGTGTGTGTGTGTGTGAGGAAGCGTGTCTGTGTGTGTGAGGGAGCGTGTGTGTGTGAGGGAGTGTGTGTGTGTGTGAGGGAGCGTGTGTGTGTGTGTGAGGGAGCGTGTGTGTGTGTGTGAGGGAGTGTGTGTGTGTGTGAGGGAGTGTGTGTGTGTGTGAGGGAGTGTGTGTGTGTGTGAGGGAGTGTGTGTGTGTGTGTGAGGAAGCGTGTCTGTGTGTGTGAGGGAGCGTGTGTGTGTGAGGGAGTGTGTGTGTGTGTGAGGGAGTGTGTGTGTTTACTAGTTGTGTTTTTGCGGGGGTTGAGCTTTGCTCTTTCGGCCCGCCTCTCAACTGTCAATCAACTGTTTACTAACTACTTTTTTTTTTTTTTTTTTTTTTTTTTCCACACCACACACACACACACACCCCAGGAAGCAGCCCGTGACAGCTGACTAACTCCCAGGTACCTATTTACTGCTAGGTAACAGGGGCACTTAGGGTGAAAGAAACTCTGCCCATTTGTTTCTGCCTCGTGCGGGAATC